TCTAGAGAGAGAGAGAGAGAGAGAGAGAGAGAGAGAGTCAAAATCCATGAGTACCTATAAAATTAAAAATTCATTTGCAAAGCAGCTTTTCACAACTTACTTCAAATAGTCATTTCCATCAAATCCACCCACAGCATAGACTGCACCATGACATTCCACGGCGGCTACAGCAAATCTCTGCAGGGAAAAAAGGCAGAGCAACAAGCTTTTATATTTAAAAAAAAAAAGAAATGGACTTAGATTAGTAAATAGTACCCAGTCCCAACAAAAGAACAGTGAAACAAGATAAGAGGCAACTGAAAAGTTATAGCCACAATTCATCAACCTATGCAAAGGGTTTCAACTACAACAAACATTAAGCCATAATATAAACATATACTATAAGCTACCTTTTCCAACATTGGCCGAGCCGAAACCCATATCCCGACACTTGGGTCAAACATTTCAACTTCCGACAAACACTCCACTTCACTTCCACCACCAACTAAATAAAACTTGTCACCCAGAGCAGCAACAGCTAAGCATTTCTTTTTCGTAGTTAGCGAGGGACGTGCAGTCCATTGATCGTCCACAACATTGTATGATTCAACTACACACTCGCAAAAATTTAACTATTTTGAGAGAAGGGAGGGTGGGGCAGGGGGTTGTTGGGGGTGGTTGGAATCAATAATTAGTAGTCATTCCTTAAATGAAATGAAATACTTCTCCAGTTTTCTCTAGAAAGGCATTGTAATGTTTCATAACACACACACACATAAAAAGTAAGAAGGAAATAAGTATTACCAGTATCATACCACAATGAATCTGTCCCCCCACCAAAAACATAAAGCTCTCCATGTAACCGAGCAACTGAGGCATTTCCTCGAACTGCGGACATTGGCTTATGAAACTTCAAAACATCACATGTAGGTGAGACCGAATTCAGAGCTGCTGACCATGATACACCGTCATATCCTCCCAATATGAATATTGACTCATTTAAACTCGACTTTATAGCATTGTGTCCAACAAGAGCTTCATTGCTAGAAATGGTTGAAGAGGAATTGGATACAGATTCCAATATCATACATCTATTCTCCAGTTGATCAATCTTTTGTTGTGCCTCAACCTGATATGTAATTACACACCAAATTATCAGAGTTCGCAGAAAAATACAGCCAGCCAATCTATTCAACCAACAACCAGGTGTAGGTAGAAGTATAATGAGACGCATAAGTTTGAATGCAGATGATTATCAAAAATCAACCGTTAGAAAAGGTTCTATTGAAACACTTCAATTTATGCAACTAGCAAATTCATGAAGGCTGGCCCATCAAACAGAAAGAGTTACCAGCTTTTTTTTCCAACTTTTGATCTCCAAAGCTTGCTGTTGCTTGAAAGACTTTAACTCTTCTATTTCCCCCCACAGCTGTATTCAAGACATACAGTTAGCTATTCCAATAATCTTACAAGTCGGCAAGACTATGCAGTGCAAGGGAACTAGTCAAACTTTCAAGACGTAAATGAAGTTTCAGTAATTGCTCTTCAAAAGAACAAGTAGCTCAAGCTCATATGTTGCAGTTCCTCATTTTCAACCAAGCTCAACGTGGTATGGACTTAAATGCACAACTGAATAGTACAACAGGAATAAATAAATTCTTCCGAATACATGGGTGCCTTAAGAAGTACCTGTGAGATGATAACTGGATAATCTAGAGAACTCAAAGTACTTCCACCCTTCCACTTTCCCAAATTTGCAACAGCATCATCATGCTTTTCATGCTCCAGGTCCGCATTCTCCATGCATGCACCTTCTACAACATCTCCCATCATAATAGCATCTGAAAGCTCACCACTCAAAGCTAGTTCTTTTAATTTTATGTATAAAAGGTCCTTTTCATCATAATTCTGTATCGTTTCATAATTTTGATCACAAGGCGATGGCTCTTTCAATTGGTTATTCATCTCATTCAAAGTCTGAGAATCATCTGAAGTGGCATAGTTTGCACCATCCTCTTTTGGAAGTGATGATGGCTCACAAGCTCCACTTTCCTCTCTTTTGTTTTTTGAGGGAGAAGACTTTACAACAGGCGTCCATTTTTGTGCCTTTTTAGGTGTTGGGGCCTGACTCGGGCTAACAGCAGAAGGAGACATTTTGGACAGCAACTTGGTTGTTTGTGCATGATCCAGCTCAAACCTAAAATGAACTTGATTGTAATAGTTATTAGCGATTATTGGCTTGAATTGATGCTCGGGAAGGGCTTCACATTTCGTTCGCACGCGGACCTGAACCTTAAAGGTCGAACAACGAAAATAAAGATAAAAAACACAAGAAACCATTAAAATAAAGAGAGAATTGGTATTAAAGCCTTTTGGAAGCAGCATTAATGAAGAACTTTATAAAGCACTACATCCCTGTTGATACCTGAGCTGGAAACTTTGTTTTGTCCGGACCACCTGCCGTCCAAGCATATTGATTGATATTCAATTGGCCCGAGCTAACGGCTTCATAGATACCATGAAGTTTTCTATCACTGTAGTTGAACAAAAAAAGAGGCAAACCCGGCTCGATGTTTTGAACGTATTTAAAGTGCTTAGCTGGAAGGCCTGTCAAAACCATACAAGCATGATAATAGCTTCCAAGCAGAAAAATGTTCGAACCTCAAACTGATGGCGTGAAAATTTACAAAAACTATTGATAATGCTAACCAAAGAGTTGACTGGTTAGACATTCTTCCATTGTGTTATTAGTGCATCCAAAAATGACACCCCCTAGTTGACTTTTCTCCAAGAATCTGGCCCACTTCGAGTTAGCCGCCATCTACAGAAAAGTTCAACTCAGAAAACTGATTGTCAAATGTTTTCTTTCTCTAAGCTCCTGGCCTATAAAGGCTAGCAGATGAAAGCTTGAAGTTAACTAATTTTAATACTGCAACTAATACTTCAGAAAAGTCTGCTACACATATATCATGAATGTAACTGCAACATACATATGTGGTTAGTAAGAAAGGTCCGAGACACATAAATGTAATGTCTGAAATCCAAGAAAGTGTAAGTTCTGAACTGAATGGGAAACGGAATACGGTACATCAATAAAACAAATACTCTGAAGAGAAGGTTTATTGATTAAATCAAATTGACTAAAAACAGTTGCAAAAGCTTCTCTTCTTCAACATAGATAGATATACATTATTATTACCCAATTCATAATAAAATCAGATTAGAACAAAAATTAGAGGGGAAAAAGAACAAAAGGAGTAGAACCATAACAGACATTGACTGGATATTTATGCATATTAATCTGACTACCCATCTGGCATCATATTGAGCACAATAATACAGTAATTGACACAACCTAAATTTAGATATCAGACAAAACAGAAAACGGCTCAGTCAATTCAATCTTAATTTCCATTTATCACCTTGCACCCCAGAGTACTTTAACTCACACCGACTAGATTTAGACATCCGAAGAAAACAAAATCAATTAGTCATTACCAATAAACTCAGTAAATTGTGCGCCATTAACAAGACACCCAAACCACAATGAACCTCCACAAGCTCCATCAAGTATACACACATAAAAAGCTTAAAAAAGACACAAAATACAGACAAACAATCGGGTAAAACTACGTGAGAATATTCAAAGTGCCCTACTCAAAAATCAATACAACACTCTCAGCTATCCAAAGACTATCCACCAGCTCAATGAACTGTAAAGTGTAAGCACAGTTTCTCGATGCAGTTACACCTTAATCAGCTCTCAAAATCAGCTTGAAATTCGGAATATTGTATTAAAAAAAAAGGATAAAAACAGAACAACCAGGAAGCGGGAAAAGCTCGAGAATCTACAGTAGCTGACAGAGATATACATTTTTATGAATCGGAGAACGAAATGGTTCAGATTACAGTGAGGAGGCGCGAAAATGATAGCCTCGTCCAGAGCTTCAACCGCATCCCGGAAGCATGTTAGCGTCCGGGCATTTTTAGTAAGCGCTGTGTTAACTTCAAAGCCTCCACAACCGGCGCATGTTAGCGTCCGAGTGCTTGATTTTTTCTGGGCCGGGGCAGCTCACTGTGTATGGAAAAGCCCAAATGTGCTTATGGGCTCTATCCACAACAAAAGCTCATAACAATTCCAAAGTCTATATAATGTATCAAAAAATAGTCCATTTTGAAAGCCCATTGCATCACTATTAACGAGACGAACTATATAAAGTTATATACAAATTCTCTTTTCGAGCCTTGTCGAGTCGAGCCAAGCTCTGCTCTTTAACCATACTAGCTTTAAATGAGTTCGAGCTCGAATCAATAAGGCCTCGAGCTTGAGTCGAACTCGAGTCTTAGTGAGTCGAGCCGAATTAATCTTATTGAGTCGAGCCGAGTTAATCTCATTTAATTTAACAGCACGACTCTTTACACTGCTCGTTGCGTTTCTCGTTCTCGAATGATACTTTGTGTCCATCAACCCATTATCCTCTTACATTATTAAATTATTGAAATAATCGGTATGTGAGTGTTATGAGCATCATGAGCCTCAACCTCTGCATTTCGTTCATGAAATATGACGGTTTCCGGCGGAACTTTGTACGTCGGTCGATGGTATTACAACCGAGCTTGCGAAGCCGAGTCGTTGGCCATGGGCTCATCATTTGGTTCCTCGGTGATTGTTTAAAGGTTTAATGAAAGGTAGTTGAGCCAAGCCGTTGTAGACACAATCTTGTGGCCTTTGGACACTCATGTTCGACCTCGGAAGAGGAGTTGACAAACTTTCTATCTAATCTTAATTAAGAATATCATTCTCGTTTTCTTTCTATATTCTTATTTTATAGAAGGTTGAAGCATAATTATCTAATGTTAATTTTGGTTTCAACTTGAAATCGATGTTGCAAGGAGAAACTAGGAGCAATGCGAGTGTTGTTTGGGTCCAATCGACAGATTCGCTACAGTCCATAAAACTTGTGGACGCCTAGCTCACTTGAACAAAATATCCAATTATCTAATTCAAAATTTAATTCAACTCAATTTTTATAATTTTTATAAAAGTAATTAAATAATATTAATCAATCATTCTCACGTCACATAAATTTTAATTCAGTATTCATCTATTAACATGATTTTAACTATTTATCATTTTTTATAATCACTCTCTTACTTTTAAATCAGTTAACTTTCATTACATTTTAAATAATATTTAATTTCAAGTCTACTTTATTTAAAATAATTCACTTTAACTCAACAAGTTAGATCGTAACCAATCGCTCCAAGATACCCTAATTAGGATTCAAATTCATTTTAAGCAACTAAATAAAAAATTAATTGATACTAATTGTTATGTTAGGAGACTATAAGAAACAAATAAATACTACTAAAAGAACATTTTAAGAAAAAGGGGAAAATAAAAACTAAAATGAGGGAAAAGACAAAGGCTATATGCCTATGTGGCTATGTGACTTGAGTCTGTACACTCCACAGTCTTTGCCCCTTCTACTCATTTTTAAAGCCACTTTTCACATTTCGCATTCACATTCAAAAAACACACACACACACACACACATTTCCATATATCACCCACCATCCCTTCTTCACTTCCACTTTCTTTCGCATTTCCACCCCAACATTTCTCAATAATACCATTTTCACCACAAAACGGAAAAAATGGAGCCCAACTCACCTCTCCTATCCCCCACGCCGCCGTCCACCGGCAAAGGCATCGTCTCCTCGCTAATGGCGGCCGCTGGCGGCGGCCGCAAAACCTTCCAGGAGGACACCTACCTCGCCGCCCACCTCCGGACCTCCGAGAAAAAGGCCCTCCAGGAGCTCAAGGACCGGCTCGCCGCCACCCCCTCCGCCGCCTCCGCCTCCATGTGGGGCGTCCCCCTCCTGCCGGAAAAACCCGACGACGGCGGCCGCGCCGACGTCGTCCTCCTGAAGTTCCTCCGCGCCCGCGACTTCCGCGTCCCGGACGCCCTCGAGATGCTCACCCGCTGCCTCTCCTGGCGGCGCGAGTTCGGCGCTGACGGCGTGGTGGCGGAAGAGCTCGGCTTCGGCGACCTCGAGGGCGTCGTCGCCTACATGCACGGCGAAGACCGCCACGGCCGCCCCGTCTGCTACAACGCCTACGGCGTGTTCCGCGACCGGGAGATGTACGACCGGACGTTCGGCGACGGCGAGCGGCTCCGGCGGTTCCTCCGGTGGCGCGTGCAGGTGCTTGAGAGGGGTATCAAGATGCTCGAGTTCAAGCCCGGCGGCGTGAACGCCATTATTCAGGTCACCGACCTTAAGGACATGCCGAAAAGCGAGCTTCGTGTAGCGTCCAATCATATTTTGTCGCTCTTTCAGGATAATTATCCTGAGATGGTTGCTAGAAAGGTGGAAAATTTTTCTTCAATTTTTTATTTTTTTGGTCGATTAATTTGATTAAATTAATTATTTAAATTTGTTTGTGTAGATCTTTATAAATGTGCCGTGGTACTTTAGCTTGCTGTATTCGATGTTTAGTCCATTTCTGACACAAAGGACCAAGAGCAAGTTCGTGATATCCAAGGAGGGAAATTGTGCCCAGACACTCTACAAGTTAGTTTAATTTAGTTTTTACTGTTTATTACTATTTTGATGAAATTTTTGGTAGATTTCACTTATAATTTTTTTTATTGTTATTGTTAGTGTTACTATTATTTTGATGAAAAATTGGGTAGATTTCAGTGAGGGTTGAATTAATCTTGTAAAAAAACACGGTGAAAATATGGTAATTGCATTGTGTGATTGATTTCCATAGTGAAAAACAGGGTAACTGCACTGTAAATATCTGGTAATTGATTTTGTTTATTGATTCAATTGTGAAAAACAGGGTAATTGCACTGTAAAAATCTTGGTAATTGCATTGTGTTTATTGATTTCAGTTGTGAAAAACTCGGGTAACTTCACTGTAAAAATCTGGTAACTGCATTATTGTGTGTTGATTTAATGTAGAAAAATTCAATAATTGCACTGCAAGTCAAATCTTCGAAAAATCTTAATACTTAATTCAGTCCGAGTTTCGTGTTAACCTAAATTTTCTACTTCAGGAAGAAATATTGTGCAGTGTGCTGCTGTATTTGTGCATTAATTATGTACTCTGCATTTTTTTATTTTTATTTTTATTTTTTTTTGCTTTTTTTATGAGGTAGGTTTATCAGGCCGGAAAATGTGCCGGTCCAGTACGGAGGTCTGAGCAGGCCGGGTGATGAGCTGGACGGTCCGGCTAGACCAGCGTCGGAATTCACGGTCAAAGGTGGAGAGAAAGTGAACATTCAGATTGAGGGCATTGAGGTAAGCTCACCCCTTTCTTCTTCCCCACACGTTTAATTTGCGTCAGATCTAAATAAACTAATAAAAGCAGTTTCAATTTTTTTTTTTTCCTGAGTGTTGGTAGCGTACAGGTACAGCTCTTTGATTGTAATAATATATGGTGATTGTGACTGATGAGAGTGAAACTCATAAAATCCAAAATAAAATTGTCCTGTTGTTAAATTAATTTCATTATTTTTCATGTAACTTTTCTGCAGGTTATTAGTGAAACAAATTTAGGTAAAATTGCATTTAATTTATTTGTCTTTTTATGCTGATTTATAATTTTCTTTTTAAAAAAAGCTGTGATGTGCTAGGTAGTAGATCTTTCTGAAAACCCAAATCTGATAAATAGTGTTTTCTGATTTTTCTGGCTAGTTGTCCCCCTTATAGTAGCCCCTTGCATGACTTTTTCGTCCCTTTTTGTCTGTTTTTTGCTTGAAGATAGAGATATTTTATATTCTTATTCACTATAGTTTATGTCTATAAAGGTTCGTGAAATAAACGAGCTAGAAGTCGAGCTCGAGTTCGACTCATTTATCACTGTTAACGAGTTGATCTCGAGCTTTAACCGGCCAATACCTAGAAATTTATAAAATATATCTTTTTGAACCTTAAGAGTCTTAAGCCGAGGCTTGTTAACCAAACGAGCTTTAAATGAGCTTGAGCTCGACTCGTTAAAGATTTGACCTCGAGTCGAACTCGAGCCTTAACGATTCGAGCTAGAATCGTTTAATTTACCAACACTACTATAGTTGTACTAAGCATTAAGTATATTGGATTAAATTATTAAAAAAAAATACTTTGAAATATATATAGGTCTAATGATTAGTAGAAGACTTCGGCCTCGGTGCAATCATTAAGTTTTTCATCGCTTGGATCTACAAAAACACACATACCCACATTCATAAAACGAACATCATAAACAACATGCACTCACCACATTTTTCATTGTTGGATCTACACAAATACACACACTCACATTGTGTTGTGATTAAAACAAACTTTAATGTAGTCATCAAGTTTTTCACTGTTGAATCCATACACACATTTTCAATTTTAAAAATCAAGTGTTTTTTTTTTAATTAAAATTTGGTGCTCCAATTAAATTCAATTGACTAATATTTTTTTGGTTTGAATTGAATTTCATTTAAGGGTGGGTCAACAATAACATGGGATATAGTGGTGGGTGGATGGGAAGTGGAGTACAGTGCAGAGTTTGTACCTAACGCCGACGGCAGCTACACCATCGCCGTCGACAAGTCACGGCGGCTTGCCGCCAATGAAGAGGCCGTTCACGACTCGTTTACGGCCAGGTTTGCCGGAAAATTGGTGCTCTCAGTCGACAACACAGCCTCGCGCAAGAAAAAAGTGGCGGCCTACCGATACATAGTCCAAAAATCCTAAGTTAATTTTCTTGAATATATAAGTTTTATTTAAATTAATTTTCTGGTTCTAGTATGTACGTTGTATGCTTTTTATGTGTAGCTTTGATTAGTTTTTTGGGATTAATGTTGCTACTTGAATTGATGTTTAGAAATGTTGTTTCATGTTCAATTAAATGCATGTTTCTCCATGAAACCTAACTATAAATCTTAGGGTGTTTGTAGGTTGTGACATACAGAGAGAAATGTTATTAATTAAAGTCAGTATAATATTTTTTATTTTAGTTGACATTTAGGTTATCCACTTTTGATTATTATTATATTCTCTAGCAATATTGGTAGCACTTGAGTGTGAAATAAAAGAGTTTCACTTGGAATTTATTAGAAAGAAACTTCATATTATGCATTTATATTATGTTTTCTTAATTTAGTTTTACTAATATAATATCAAAAATTAAATTCTATAGTTGTTATTTCGTTTCGCTAGAAGAATACTGGAAACTTCATATATTATTAAACGAAATACTATTTCAGTTAAATTAGTAAAATTTAACTGAAATATTGTTCTGAATTTTTACATCATATAATCTTATTGTTCTGAATTTTTACATCATATAAACTTAAAGTGCTATTTTTGTTTCATCTTAAAACCAATCTCATTTGCAAATTACTTTCTCATTTAAAAAAGTTAGCTTCTTCAATTTTTTATGCATGATTAAAAAAAATTCCTTTTTTATGAATATCCTTTCCCACTCTATATCCTTTCAAAGGATTAAAATATTAAGGGGGTGATTGTTCATGAATTCAACTAGCTTTTAAATGGTTTTTTTCAAATATAGTTAATTTAGAAAAAATGTGGTATTGTTAGTTGTTAGTGGATATATTAAAATAATATTTAAAATAAAATAATATTAAAGTTGTTATGATATAAAAGTAGGAGAAAATTGATTAGAAGTGATAATTAGTTAAAATTATGTGAGTAGATGAATACTGAATTAAAGTTGATGTGATGTATAAAAATGATTGGTTGATATTATTTAATTATATTGATAATAATGGAGATAGTGAGATTGAATTAAATTTGAGTTTTGATTAGTTTTTTTTTTTTATTTTGGATTGATAAAAAACCACCCTTAAATCATTAAACCCATTTCTAGAAGTTATATCTATGATTATGATCCACTGAATGTGTAACCTAAAAAGTGGCAAGATAATTATTATTATAATTCATAGGATCCAATGGTTAAAACTATATAGTTTTTTTTTATCATTTAATCAATTCCTTTTTCAATTTCGAAAAGATTCGAACTATCATTGATCGCAGCTTAGTCATCACGTCTTTTATAGTTTAATCAGCACATACATATTCACAAGTTTTTTTATTGTTTGTTCAAGAGACAACAATATATCTATATGAATGTATGTTGATTCAATGACTAAAAATTTATAATTTGCACTATTTTTACCGTTAGATCAACATTGAACGATAAAAACATGGAATTTTATTACATTGAAGTTAAACGTGGGTGCAATAATTAAGGTTTGGGCACGTTATAAGTTAATTGCATGATTAGGGAAATTTGAGGGGTTTCACTTTTTGTATATAGATAACATGTGAGGTGGGTCAGTGAATGTGGACTTTTGAAGCATGTGTGTCTGGTTTGGTCTGAACTCTGTGGGGTAGAAAAGGAAAGAAAATGGAGATAAGTTTGCTTCGTTTTAAATCTCTGCTGCTCTGAATTTTTCTGAATTTTTGCATCTCTTTTATTGGAATTCGAGAAAGCAATATTTTTTATTTTGAAAAATAATAATTGTGATGGCCCATGTATTTAGGAGGGTGATGTGATGATGGGTTGGGTGGAAAATTGGAAGATTTTTTTTGGAACGAATTTGGGTGGGTGTGTATTTTTTCCCTACCTACTTTGGTATTTTGAAAAAAAATACTATATGAGAAAGTAGAAATTGTTCAATTTTTTCACTTCAAACTTAAAAGTATATTTAATAGCACTGATAATTATTTATTATAATATATAACAATGTGATACGAAAAAACTAATAATTAATTGTGGTGTGATAGAGAAATTAATCCAATAAAATTAAATATATGAACCAATGAGTAATATATTATAAATAAATGTGTAGTAGTGATTGACCTTTATTTTGAATTTTGCATTAGAAAACGTGAGTGAAATAGAGCAAAAAGATTGAATTGCATAAACTGTGTATTTGTTTTTAATCAATGGATGATATAAGAATCATGTAAAAATATATCAATTGCATCGTAGTTTGAATAGAAACAATATAAAGTGATGGATAAGTTAAGAAAATCAAGAATTATTATTTTTCTTTTGGGGGGAAAAATAAAAAATTATTTCTTTCAGCATGGAGCAAATGCTAGATTTGTCCAATAAGTTATCAACAATATAATAAAATTGCGTGAGTTTTAGGGATGTTTTCATCTGACTATTTAACAATTTTTACATCTGTTGTGTTCGAATTTTATTGACAATTATAAAAACTACTGAACAAATTCATTATATATGTCCTCATATTGTGTTTTGATTTTTATTAACAAAATTAGTGGACAGTTTTACTTCTGCCTTCAAACCACTTTACGTAATTTGCAGTTTTGTCCAATTTGTCTAACAAATCTCTTAATGTGGTCTTAAATTGGAAAAGCAGAGTTCCTGAATAAAGATATCTGAAAAGCTTTCACTTTTTGACAATTTAATCGGACATTAGCCAAAATATTTGAATGATATAAGCAGATAAAAAGGTTGTCTGATTAATAGTACCTTTGTAAGCACACAAAAACTGGTCACTCCTTTGCTTTGTTTGCTCGACTTCTCATTTCGAATTGTGAGCATTTTATTTTCTCATTTTATTGTTTTATTAAAATTTATTCACCTTGCGCAATTGTGATAATTTCTCTTATAATTCCCAATAGTGTTAAAGCTATATAATAAGGCCTTGGGAGATCAAAACCTATTTCATTTTGTTTGGTGATATATTTAATGAAAACTTATCTCATCTTGTTTGAATTGGTAAACCTTTTATAAGTATAATAAAACCTCTATAAATTAATAATGTTGGGATCATAAAATTTTAGTAACTTAGAGAGATATTAATTGATCAGTAAATTAATAATTTATTAATTTAAAGAGTGCTTTCACGATTTAGCAAATATAAATTTTGGAAGTGTAGTTTGGCAAATACAATTTTTGGGTAGTGTAGATTGTAATGGTGATCAAGTAGACTTGTTAGGAAAGAGTCTTCATTAAATTTGGAAAGAAATTCATAGGTACAAGAATAAAAAAATTCATTAGGAAAGAGGCTTCTTGATTAACAATTATTAGGTAGCTATAAATATGTGGTTTATGTTTTAGAGTTTTATATGTGTGGTGTAGTTTTCTTATCCAATAATGGTGGGGATAAAAAATTGCAACCATGACCGATCAAATCAATTTAGATTTGAATTAATGAAGAAACAACAACAATAGATTCATATTTTATTAAATTGTCTTAATTATATTTGTAATTTTAGGGGATTATTAATTTATGATTTTGACGGGATAATATATTTATAAAAGAGTCTTTCTATAAATTATTATCATATTATTTTTTTAAAAATTTACAATTTTTTTACATTGGCCCAAGTCAGGACAGGAAGAAAATATTATTTTAGAAAGATTATTAATTTACCGAATATTAATTTATAGAGGTTCTACTGTATTCAAGTTGCTTGCTCACAACTAGAATTGTTCATCGAATCAAGTTGTTTGCCAATACAACTCCATTTGATTCGTAAAAAGCTCGAATAATTATATAAATGAACTAAGCTCGAACAAAAAATTGAATTGGTTTATTAAACAAGTTGAACCGAGTTTCTTCGCAAACAATTCATTTTTTTAGTTTAAAGTAAATATCTCGAACCGAACATTTTTGCAAATGAATTGCTCTCAATCAATTGATTTTACATATTTACGCTCATTAAACGTGTCGAGTTGAGCTCTCACGAACTTTGAGCTGAGATCGAGCCGAGCTACTTGCTCGTTTATTGAACGAGCCGAGCCAATTTGTTTATTTAACGAACATAAAAGAATTACTCGGATCAACCCGATTGACACCTCTACTCGGGTTTCTTTATTTATTTATTTTTTTTTTGTAAAGAAAAAACTTTTTTTTATTTGGTAAACATTTATCTACGGAAATCAAGTTCCAAAAATATTTAAATATCTAAATTTAATGACAGATTCTAAAAAAAATATTTAAATAGCTATAACATAAAAACATAAATTGATCGGTTGATAGACTATCCAAGTCTTGGATAAGGGCACGCCCAGCCCGCACATCCATTGGAGTTCATTGCTGGCCCAAGCCCGCTTGAAGAGCGACTTGGGCCATAACACGAGTCCCGATAACTTCGGACACGTGTCAGGATTTGGCGCTAGATATGGAAACGTGTCAAATATTTGTCATTTCCTAATAACAGTAATCCAACTGAAAAGCACCTCTCGATCAGAGCTGAAAATCACACTCAAAAGAAAAATCAAATCGCGAAAAAAGAAAAACTTATAATGGCGCAGGCAACATTCACCGGCCACGATGAAGCCGTTCTGCGATTCCGATTGGCGAGCGGCCACCCGATACCTTCCGTGGGCCTCGGCACCTGGAAATCTGATAATCCAAAGGATTCTGTTTTTACCGCCATAGTCGAGGTAAAAGAAAAAATTGTAATCGAATAAAAAATGATTTGCTATTCATTCGAACCCGCCGTGGATTTCTAATTTTTCATTTGACTTATTTATTTTCTTTTTGTTGGCGTTTTGTCGGCAGGCCGGCTACCGGCACGTGGACACGGCGGCGCAGTACGGTGTTCAGGACGAGG